GAGAGAGAGAGAGAGAGAGAGAGAGAGAGAGAGAGAGAGAGAGAGAGGGATGTGTTCGAATGTGGGTCGAGATTGGCCATATGCAGCTGATATGCTGCTGAAGAACTCATAGATTTCGTGGAAGTTGTCAGTCTGCTAGTCTTCTTCTTCTTCTTGTCAATCAGTCTTCTTCTTCTTCTTCTTCTTCTCGTCAGTCTTCTTCATTTTTTGTCAGTCTTGTTCTTCTTCAGAATGGAAGGGTCGATAAGTTGATAACAAAACACAGACAAAGATGTTTAATAGCAACACCAAATAAAGATCCCTAGGGTTTAAGGTTTTACAACTTTTACTACATATTACATCCAAGTAGGCTAGAATCCAAGGTCTTAGCATAAAAGTCAGCAAACCTCCCAAAGGAGAGAGGAAAAAGTCAACTAGGAGCGAGGACTCTAGTAGAGCATCCAGCAACTGATAGGACAGGGTTTAGGGTTTCAGCAAGGACATACCAATACACCAAGCTAGCAGTTCCAGCAAAAGGAAGCAAAACAGACACCCAAGACGCAGAAAGGAACAGGCAGGCTCAGCCCTAGAGAGTAGATTCACAGGTCCTAAAAGTTAGGTATTTCAGACTAGCAGTATAAAGCAAGTTTTAAATGGTACATGATAACTTAGGCAGGGGTCCAGGGTGGTGCATCCTCCCTTGAGGAAGTAAAACCAAGGCTAGATAGACAAGGGTTTAGGGTTAGGACAGTCTCAAGGCAAGTAGGGTTTAAAGTTCCAGGAACTCAAGAAATCCACAAGTGCCCCTGATTGCTCTAGCATAACACACCGACCCGACAGCATTGCAGCTGAGAGGAGCAGGACTGTGGCCAGTGAGATTAGCAAGAGCCTTCCAGATTAAGCATCACAGGCTAAATTAAGCAGGGGGGAGAGGGGGTATATCCTTCCACAAGGAAGCAAGGGCCTCCCAGCCATTATGGGGAGGAGCGTGCCTGAGTTTCCCATGTACTCCAGAATGACTTGCCGGGGGAATAGGAACCGGACTCTCACTCCCCAGAATTGCAGGAGCCAGAACCAAGAGGTTCTGTTTTATTAAAAAGAAAACTGGGTGAGGATGCCGCCCGGCCGGGCCGAGGGCCCAGGGGGCCCGCCCGGGTAAACCGGGTGGGCCAAAAAAC